AGTTTCTGCTGCCTGAGCTCTTTAGGATTCCTCATGGGCCTGGTTTGAGGATGTATTTCTCCAGAAAAGATACATATTTTGCTGCTTCTAGGCCCCTAAGAGTGTTATCAACCTGGCACTATTTAAGCTTAATTTTTCAGCTTGCGTTTTCCAGAACAATCTGGATAGTGTAAGTTCAATGCAAGGACAGATAATGTATTTATAAATTCTTGGGGGAGCCTTTTTTGTTATTATGCTTTTTGCCATTCAGAACTGAGGCTGAAATGGACAAGTTATTTTTTGTGGTTTCCCTTTACTGGTTAGACCTTGGGCAAATTAGTTAACCTTCCCTAGTCTCAATTTAAAACTTAGAGCATAAATTTCCTGTGAGCATTAAATAATATAATACATGCGAAGTGCTTAGGTTGTACATGGCATAAATTAAACACTCAACAAATGTTACCTTTTGGTTTACTGTTTATGTGGCAGAACCTACATACACCCCAAACAATTAGAAATGATACAAAACAGTGCATGGATAGCTGATAATTCATGTGGTTCAGACACTGCCATGGAATATATGGAAAATATTATTTGGGGAAATGAGAGCTGAAGACACGTCTATTTTTCTGAGGTCCTCTGCCCCCTCCAAAAGATGCTTAAGCCCTTATTTGGCATTCTCTTCTGTGGCCATAGAACAACACCAGGATTGCTAAATCTCATTTTCGCTAAGTGTTGACACTTAGCGAAAAAGTCAGTTCACAAGTCCAGCCCAGTGACACCTTCCCTCATCATCAGGCTGAGCATAGGCCCCGAACACACGGGCTGAACCTCCCTCAGACCCATATTGGGAGTGTATTAGTTTTCTAGGGCTACCGTAACAAAGTGCCACAAACTCTGTGGCTTAAGCATAAATGTATCATCCCACACTTGGGGAGGCTAGAAGTCTGAGATCAAGGCATCAGCGAGGCCGTGCTGCCTCTAAAGGTGCTAGGGAAGGCTCTGTTCCAGGCCCCCCTCTTGGTTTCTGACAGTTCCTTGGTTTGTGGCAGCATCACTTCAATCTTCCCATGGCATTCTCCCTGTGCACGTCTATCTCTGCATCTGAATTTCCCCTTTTTAGAAGGACATCAGTCATATTGGATTATGACCCAACCTGATATGACTTCATCTTAACTAATTACCCCACAATGACCCTATTTTCAGATAAACTCAAATTCTGAGGTACAAGGGTTAGTGCTTCAGCATACGAATTTGGGTGAGAGGGACACAATTCAACCCATAAGTGGGTGGGTATTCCTTTGTGCTGCCAATGGAGTCAGAAAGGAACACTTCCCATTCCTGCGTGCCACTGTCTACACCTGCTCCTTTCTAGCTGTTTCTTTTCCCTCCATGCATCCATGGCTTATTTTAACTGGGTGTCCCTTTCCCTGGACAGCTGCAATAATTTCTCAGTCTTGACTCCTAGGCAGTGAAATGTGCTAGAAACAGATGTCTCCAAATCTCTTTGTGTCACTGTCTCAGATTCAGATTAAGGCCTGCGTAACATATACTAGGCACTTAGCCTGTTTTCACACACCTGACCTCTCTGTCCTCACAACAGCCCTCTAGAGTACTTTCATACCTACTTTGTGAGGAAAATAAAGCTCATGGATATTGAGTAACATACCCCAAATTGCACCATCAATAAGTAGAAGAGCTAGAAATATGATCAGGGTCAGATTTCATCTTATCTTCGTGACCCAAGCAGGAGTCACTTAAATAATGAGATATTATTGAAACCCCCTTCCTCCCATTCCAAATTTTTCCATGACACTTTCCTACCATACCAGTTATTATGAGTGTAAGTGACCATGCTCTCAGTGGCTGAGCATCCAGTTGCCATGTGTCCTGGCTCAAATCGCAAATTGGCCTTCTCCCACTGTGTGCATATATGACTGTGTCACTCTTGCTATCAGAACTTTCAAAACTCATAATCTGTCTGGCCTGGGCTCACTTGAGTGTCAGGTAACACAAAATACACAAGGAAATGAAGAACAAAGCTGGCTGGCCCATATAACCTAGTGCAATTCTCAAATGCAAAGGAATTCTGAACAAAAGAGCCTCTTCTGCCTGACAGTGTCTTCCCTGGGACAGCCGGGTTCACTTTGAAAGCTTTCTTACCACCTCTTTGGAGAAGTAGCTGAATTTCCCAGCTGTCTTTATATACCATGTCACTTGGGTCTTGGCCCTACTCTACCACTGGGGAAGAGGAGAACAGACAAACTGGAATGTTGAAGATGAACAACAAAAGATTCCCCCCTCAACCGTCAGGGAGTCCCGAGGTGCTTGGAGGGAGGAGGATGAACCGATAACCTCTCTGGTCCCTAAAATTTGTATTCAGGTAAAGCAAAATCCAGGCTCTGGTTGAACAGGGTAATTATAGTTGTTCAGACTTGACCTGAGTAGGTACACTGGGAAGTGATTCCCAGAAAGGTGACCCTTGCCAGACATGTTCACCAAGTGGTCTGTTCACCTGAGCTTTGAGAGCTCAGTTTTCTCCTGAGGGATTGCCAGGTCAGATGTTCGTCCTCTTATACAGGTCTTCATCCTGAAATTCTAGTCTCTTGGACTTTAAACTCCAGGGAAATGTGGACGGATGGAACAGAGGAATACAAAAAGAAAGGGGAAGAATATTCGAGTTGAGAAAATAGATTGCTCTCTGAGGCTTGTTTTCTTCTCAACAGGAAATGGAAACCAAGGCAATTATGTGGTATAGAGATAATTTTCGTTCAGTTTCCTGATTTTTTTTTCAGGTGTACTTGTTGCACTTGAATTATCCAGATAGTTTCATGAATTGACCCATTTCCTTTGTCCATATGGACCTAAGTTATTATTCTCATTATTGAATCTATACAGTCCTAGGCTTGGGCTCTGTCTCAGGGAGTAGTGCAGCAGGGCTGGGTCCAGAATCCAAGTCTCCTCACCAAAGTCTTGGCTCTCAGCTACCCCCCAGAGTCCTCTGCTGGCACTGACCCCTCACCACGCCTCCTGTGGAAGAGAAGTTCTAGTTCCATGACAGGCAACCTGTAGAGTTAAGCTTCCAGAAACTGATCGGCCATCTGTGGCTCGTTGACAACTGTATTCTTAATTGGAGGTTCACTTGGCATAGCACTCATAACTGCTCCATCCTCTCAAAGATGAAATGCTGGCCTAGAGTTTAAAGAGAAAGGATATTATGGCCAGGATCCTAAGTGCCCTGAAAGAAGAGGTCAGGAAATCACAGAACCCTGGGGCCAGAACAGACCTTGGAAAGGGGGGGGGGGGGTCTGTTCTTGTTTTTCAGAAAGGGAAGCTAAGGCCTAGAGCAAAGAAGTGGCTTGCCCAGGGTCACACAGCTCAGCCAAGTAACAAATCTGGACTTAGAGCCAGCCCGCAGGTGAACAGTCTGGTGCTCGTCCCAGCTCACCTTGCTCTTCTTTTTCTTTAAAAAAGACACCTTAAAGGAAAAGCTGTTTCCGAAGTGAATGCGGGAGGGCTGCCCACTTCAGCATGGCTTTGAAGTCTCTCCATCCCCTCCTCTTACTCAGTGACAGTGGCAGAACCGCCAGGGCCTGGCTGACCTCTGGGTTTTAGTGACGCTTATCAGCTTGGGTTTAAAGGGACTTTGCAAATAATGACTAATAACCAGGATCCAAGGTTGGGCCCACTGGTTAATTTGGGGAAATTTTAAAATGCGGGATTAAAATATATATTTCATTTTGGGCATCCGGATGAACAGCCCCTGCCCGAACCACCCACCATCCCGGACAGGGGCCCGGCGACTCTGTCCAGTCCTCCTCCGGGAATGTTGCACCAACGCCAAACCCTCCCCTACCTCCGGGTCACTTCTCGGTGACTCTGTTTCTCCTCTGCTTCCCCTCGCAGTGCCACGACCCCTGGGGAAACTCGATCTTGGGTCCCTCGGACAGACGCTTCAGCCCCGCGGGGCTCCCAGGACACCACCGCGATCGGATTTCGCGTGGCCGCCGAGCTCCCCCTACGCCGGTCCCCTCCCGCCAAGGAACCCCCGGAGCCAATCAGAACGTCGCGGAGCTCCGGGTTGTAGAGTCCCGAGCCCCGGACCCGCCCCTCTTTGTTGCGGCGGCCAATGGACGCATTCGGAACATCGGCGGCTGCCCGGGTGACTCGGTTATATGTCACAGAATAACATTCGAGAATGGGACATGGAATGAGGCGACGGCCGCAGCAGCCCCAGCAGCCCCAGCAGCCCCAGCAGCCCCAGCAGCCCCAGCAGCCCCAGCAGCCCCAGCAGCCCCAGCAGCCCCAGCAGCCCCAGGCCCAGCAGCGGCAGCCCCCGCCGCCCCCGCCTCCCGGAGGGGCGCTGCAGCTATGAAGCCG